CATCTTCTCCACCAGCAAATCCACTGTCCATACCCTTGGATTGGTTGAAGAGCCTTTGGTCATACTGGACTATGATCATTGGAAGTTCAAGGATTGGGCACACCAAGAGCAGTAACTTCACTGGTACTGGGATTTTAATTTCTCTGCAGTTTTGACCTCTTATTGGGAGCTGCCCTGCAAAGACTACAGTCCTGCTGTCTCTCTTTTCGCCTATCGTGCTGGATTTCATCCCTTTCCCATGACTCACTAAGTTTCTCTTTATGCTTCTCCTTTTGTTTTTGAGCCATCTTTCTCTCTACTTGGGCTCACATTTCCACAGCTTCACAAGCCTTCTGATCAGCAATGTAGAGAGCATCAGCCAGTTTGTCGAAGTTTTCATTTATGTGTACTGTCTGAAGTCTTCGGCCAGCAGCTAGCCATTTATCTAATGGAATTGTGCAAACCTTTGTGTTCTTCCAGTTGGAAACACAAGGAGGAATCCTCCACTCCCATTGTTCCTTTATGACCATCTTCCAACTAGGAGAATGTATTAGAGGTGCAGGAGGAGAAGGTGGTCCCCAGGGAATTTTCTTATTAATCTTGAGCCTTGGAGGTTTCATTGGCTCTTTTTGCATTTCTACCATTCAAATAACCCTTTGTTTGGCTCCAGAGTTGAATGCCACTCCTTGCTATGAGGGTGTATATCAGATGTACTGAGCAGGGGCCAACTTGTCAGCTGCTCTACAGAGACCCTCAGAGATATAATTTTCTCTTTCTTTTCTGTTATCTCTTTTTTTATATATCTGAAATGATTTTATTTCCAAATAAGGTCACATTCTGAAGTCTGGGGGTCAGGACTTTAGCAATTCTTGTTAGGGGACACAATGCAACTCATTAAAGATGGTGGGGCATCAGGGTCAACAAGATGGTTCAGTACATAAAAGCACTTGTACAAGCAACTCAGGAGACCTGAATTCAATCTCGGAACCCACATAAATGTGGGAGAAGAGAATTACTCTACAAATTGTCCTCCAACCACCACACATGGACTGTGGCATGTGAGTCCACACATAAACACACACACACACACACACACACACACACACACACACACACTGTAACAACATACATAATAATAATAATGTAATAATAATATTAAAGGTGGTGGGCAGAGGGAAAGACCTGCCAAGGCCCTATGTGCTTTTTGGCATCCATGGTGTCAGGGCCACAGCATATCTAAGGATAACTGAACTGTCCTGTAGTCTCCCTTCTTGACTTATTTTGCTGTTCCAATCTTTTGTCATGACAGTTTATCAAAACTATGGGGACATTCACCTTGGTCAGAGAGCAAACCACAGCACTGACATTTTTCTGGCTATGTTTCTGAGATTCTCCTGGATACATCCCTAAGGATGGAACAGAGATATTTCTCTGGACACTGTTGCTCTCAGTAGACCCTACTGAAACAAAATTTTAAAATAACTTGCCCTTCACTCCTTCATGTCCTAGGGAATTGTGCATGTAGTTTAAAGTCTCAGAATTTTTTTGGGGGGGGGTGTCTTTTCTGAGACAGGATCTCCCTGTAGCCCCAGATGGCCTGGAACTTGCTTTGTAGACCAGGTTGTACTTGAACTCACAGACATCTGCCTGCCTCTGCCTCCCAGGTGCTGGGATTAACAGTGTGTCACCACACCCTGTATGTATTTATTTTTTAGTGAGGCTTGGTTTAATAATTTATTCTGCCAGGTGTGGTGACTCATACCTTTGATCCCAGCACTTGGGAGGCAGAGGCAGGCAGATCTCAGTGAGTTCGAGGCCAGCCTAGTCTACAAAGCAAGTTACTGGGGCTACAGGGAGACCCTGTCTCAAAAAGACCAAAAAAAGAAAAAAAAGAAAGAAAAAACATAAACACAAAATTAAAGTAAAACACCTTGATAGTCTCTTTCAAGGTACAAAGCAAGCTCTGCATCTCAATGAGCCTCTGCCCTTGTTTTTAAGGCCAGCTCACATCCTGAAGCTACGGTCATTTGCTTCTTTGAATCCAGATCAACTTCATAAGCAATTTAAAAAAATTTTTTATTATTGTGTATTTCAAACAGAAAATTTTTATAACTCCTTTCCCCTTCCCCTTTGACACCCTCCCATAGCCCCCCACCCCCACTGGAGTTCATATATTAAGTCATTTGAATTAAGGGCTATCATGTAAAGTTAGTGTCCCTCAGTGCAAGTTCACCTACCAGGATTTTGTCAGCCTATCTAGAGTCTCTCCCTTCAAGAAGATCAGCTCTTCCTCACCCAGCAGTAATCAGCTGCCAATCATTCTTTGAATAACATTGGGGCCTGCTGTTCATTTCCACAGTTCTATGCTGGGTTTTTGTCTGCCTGAGTTTGCATGGGTCTTGTGCATGCTAACAACATTGCTGTAGGCTTATATGAGAAGGGTCCCAGGCACCTGTAGGATCATTTTCATATGGTCGTGCACCTCCTCCCTGGCTCTTACAATCTTTCACCCCCTCTTCCACAATGGTCCCTGAGCCCTGAGTGGGTGGACCTCAATATAGGAGTCCTATCCAAGGACCCACACTCTGCAGACTCTTATTCTCTACATTTTGGCGATTTGTGACCTTTTGCTTTCCTGGTCCTCTGTTACATGAGGGAGCTTCATTGATGAGAACTGAAAGATGCGTTAGTGTTCTCTTCGTCCCTTGTTCTATGTTCCATGAGTCTTAGGTGTAGAGGTTGCATCCTAGATGTGCCACTTAGGTTTGGGCAAGTCACAGAGAATCTTTCTGTGTGACCAGTTGTGGAACTCTGTAATAATCTCTGTCTCTTGAAAAAGAAGCCTCTTTGATGGGTGGTGACTGGGATACTTGTCTGTAAATTTAAGGATCCATAGTTTGCACATAGTAAGAAATTACATTTTGTTTAAGGATATGAGAACCTTGGGTTTTCTCTAAGATCTATGACCTCTCCAGCTATGTGTACTTGGCTAGGTTTACAGTACCACACGAGTGTCTTCCCAATGAGTGGGCTTTAAGTCCAATTAGGTAGCTGTTGATTACCCCCAAGATAAAAGTGCCATTGCACCAATGTCATTTGCTGTGCTGGTCATTGATGTGGTTTTTAAACCTTGAAGCTAGGGTTGGATCACTGACTGATGTTCTCCCTTACTAGCTTACATAGTGCTCTCCAAAGCTGTGAGAGCTGCCTTCAGGGGAGGTGGCTTCCAAGTCAGTTCCAGCTCCATTGCTTCAAATCTTGTGTCTGAAGTATGGCCTGTCTTCAGCAATAGGGTCTTACCATCAAGTTCTGGGAGGCAATCAAAGACTGTGGCAATAGCTTGTGTAATTTTGTGAGTCTCTTGGACTACCCTGGCCAACAGCTCAAAAGAAGGTTCCCCCTGTCTGGCACTGTTTCTTGTTATGTAGTCTTTAGCTATACACATGGACTCATGTAGAGAGATTGTATGTTAAATTTTTCAGTAAGTTTTTGTACTAATACCATTCCCTCTGGTTTTTCATACTAACTAGGCACTATTTATGTCTCCTCTTTCTCTCCCTGTCTTATCTTCCCTCCCTGCCCTCCCCATTTAAAGTGTCCCCCTTTTCCCATTTCTCCCTTAATAATACCAGTCTCCTATGGTCCCACCTCTCTTGAGCTCCCTCTTTCCCTTTATCTCCAAGATTCCTTGTATAAGCCTCCCTCCCCTCTTCCATTTGACTATTCCATTTTACACATTTCTCCCTTAGTAGCACCTGTCTCCTACTACTCTCTCTCTCAGGTTCCTTTAACTCCCTGGATCCCTCCCATTTTCCTGGTTCCTGCAGTTACATCAGGATATGTATTCACTTAAAAGGATTTGGTGCTAGCATCCACAAATGAGGACTGTTAACTCTTTACTTGCTTCTTTTCATCGGCTCTTTGCATGCAGGTCCTCTGCATCATAACCTCCTTTGGAACCAGGTCAGTATACTTGCTATAAATAACCTTGTCTTTTGCCTGTCCTTGTTGAGTATTGCATCATATTTAATTTTCCCTTCAGGATCCACCTGAATGGCCAGTGCATTAGACATTTTTCTCTTTGGCCCCACATCCAGTGGATACTGGACCACATGGATTTCTGGAAAAGCACCTCCATCTCCAAAATCCTCTAACAAGTGAGGTGTCCATCCTTTCCAGTACCCGTGTCGGGGAGGTTCTCCTTGAGACCAGTGAGGTCTACCGTGATCTCTGAGATACCGCTTTTTCCTCAGCTTTAAGTTGGTCCTGAGAGAGGTGAGTAGGCGCAGGTATAAAGTCGGTAAGCACCATCTTCTGCTTCTTCCAACGCAAGCCACAACTTCACAGGACAGAGCTTTCCCAGAGAGAAGGAACAGAAAGGAAGGAGCACTCACTGTGCAGGCATCAGAGCCAAAAGGCCCTGGGGATCTGTAGTTTTTTTTTAAATTAGATTCTAGCTGGCATGGGGGGAAGAGGGGACCAAGCTAGAAGATACAACAGCAACTGGTTGAACAGAGGAAACTCCTCACATTTATAGACTTTACAGGGGGGAGGTCTCAGATTATCAGATTAGTGATGGTACATATAGGAATAGACTGGTGTGATGGCACACGCGTTTAATCCCAGCACTTTGGAGGCAGAGGCAGGGGAATCTTTGTGAGTTCAAGGCCAGCCTGGTCTACTAGAGAAAAAAACAAACAAACAGAATAGAGATTCCTGATACTAAGAAGGAAAAAAAAGTTTTAAAAGGTTTGTCAAGATCAGTACCACAGCTCAGTGGTAGAGTGATTGCCTAGCATGTAAAAGGTCCTGAGCTCCAGCCTCAGAACCAAGAAAGAAAAGTGATTCCCTCTAGAAGGATTACTTGAGTTCAGAACTTTTCTTAAGACCAATCTAGACAAGATAACAAGATCTTGTGGGGGGGAGGTATCATGGGGTACATGCTAAAGCAGGAGGGTCTTACGTTTAAGGCCAGCCAGGACTATGCAGCAAGACCCTGCCTCCAAAACTAAATTAAAAATTCTTTCTGTGCTGAGGCTCTGGAATGTGCACTGGGCACAGTACCCAAGTGAAAATGTAGAACCATTCTCTGTTGCCTTCCTTCTGAGAACAGAAAAAAAAAAAAGAAAATTCTAACAGTTATTAGAATTTAACTAATCATTGTGTTGAAGAAAACTTTTGTTTGGCTAAACCTAAAGTTATATCTTTTCTTTTTTTTCTTTTTTTTTAAGACAAAGTCTCACTATGTTGCCCTAACTAGCCAGGAGCTTATTATATAAATCAGACTGGCCTCAAACTCACAGAAATATACCTGCCTCTGCCTCCTGAGCCCTAGGATTAAAGGCCTGTGCCACCATACCTGGCAAAGGTATAGCCCAGACTGGACTGGGATTTTTGATGATCCTGCCTCTGCCTTTTCACCATATCCTTCCAGCATGCACCACAACTGGCTTTAAAAATATATTTTATTTATTTTTATTGTGTGTATGATGTGTGTGAGTGTGGGTATGGGAATGCCATGGCATTTGTTTGGAGGCCAATTTGCAGGAGATATTTCTCTCCTTCCATCGAGCTGAGGCAGTCTCTCTTGTGCTCTCTGCTAGGCTGCATACCCCAGTCTAGTTAGCTGGAGAGCTGCTGGATGAGTCTCCTGTCTCCTATCTGGTGGTAGGAGTACTAAGATACAGATGCACACCACCACATCTGGATGTAGTGCCATTTCAAAGTCCTATATTGTTTTTTAAATTAATTCAGTTATTTATTTTCGCAGTTCTGGGAATCAGAGGGCTTTACACATGCTAGGCAAATGCTATACCACTGTAAGAAGCATTAAATATCAGTCTTTTTTGTAAAACGCTGTAAAACTTTTGTTTAGGACAAGAAATTCAAATCTTTTTTGGTCTTTTTGAGACAGAGTCTCCCTGTAGCCCCAGCTGGCCTGGAACTCACTATGTAGACCAGGCTGGCCTTGAACTCAGAGAGATCCATCTGCCTCTGCCTCCCAAGTACAGGGGTTAAAGGCATGTGCCACAATACCCAGCTTTCAAATCTCTCTCTCTCTCTCTCTCATTTTTTTAAATAAAAAAGCTCTTTTTCATTTCAGGAACCTGATGAGCCTCTTCCCCTTTTGACTAGCCCCTTCCTCATTCTCCTTCATTGCCTTTGTGCCAATTCTTTTAAAACTATCCAACCATGAAAGATTTTCCCAGCCAGTGGGAAAAAGACATAGTACTCTTGCATTAGGAAAAAACCTATCAAATGTCCCCAGATCCCAGGTGTGCTTGCTTGATCCAAATGATAGAATGCACCCTTTTGCAAAAGTAAACATTGCCTTGCCCGGTTCCTTTGGCTTTGTCTGTGTGTTCTTTGTGTGGTATTGGTGGGATCCTGGGACCTCAGATTTTATTTCTAACCCCACTCAGCAGAGCTATACCTCCAATCCCTAAGGCTGTAACTTCAACAGGATTTTTTTTAACTGGCTAGTCACATGAAAGACATAATGTTCTATTTAGTAAATCATATTTTCCAAAAAAGTGCTAATAAGGGAAAATATATCTAGAGCAGTGTGAGTTAAAGTGAGTTGAGAGGCGCTAGGGAGATGTCTCAGCAGGTAAAGCACTTGCTACACAAGTATGAGGATCTGTAATTCCAGCACTTAGGAGGCAGAGACAGAGGAGACCCAAGCAAGTTGGCTAGGTAGACTAATCAAGTCAGCAAGCTCTAGGTTCAAGTGAGAGACTCTGCCTAAAAGTATGGAATGGAGAACAATCAAGGAAGACACCCAATATCAACCTCTGGCCTCTGCACATATGCACATACACATTGACATACACGTACATGTGAACACACATACACATATGTGCACACACACTGTACAAAAATAAATAAATAAAGTGAATACTGATACATATCATTTTTCAAAACTTTGCCCCTCAAAAGAGTCCCAGGGTCAAATAGGATTGGATTGTTGTTGTTGTTGTTTTGAGGCAGGGTCTCCATGCAGCCCTAGCTGCAGCTTAGAAGTCACTACATAGACCAGGCTGGCCTTGATCTCACAGAGATCCTTCTGTGTCTGCCTCTCTGGAAAATATAGTGAGTACGTTCCAGGCCAGTTGGGGCTACTGGGAGACCCTGTCTCTAAAACAAAAAGCTAGAAAATAGGGGCTGGGAGTGTGGCTCAGTTGGTAGAGTGTTTGCCTAGCATACATGAGGCCCTGGGTTCAGGCAACATGCACAAAACATCTAGACAGTGTCTAGTTCCCAGTGAACCAATCAATTGTTATGTACAGCTCTTTGTTACTGTTGTTAAACACACCATCAAATAAAATGAAGCCGGAAGAAAGAGGCAGAATAATATTTGGAAAGCTTTCCATGTAGAAGAGGAAATAGAAAGACTCCTATGAATATGTCCAAACAGCTGAAAGAAAACAGTGGGGTTCAGGACACACTAACCTCAAAGCGCGGCACCATGGCATCTGGAAAACAGCAGAAGCAGGAAGGCCTCCAGACCTTCTCACCACCCTTAGCCTCTGCAGCAGGTCATAAAACCTTCATTCCAGAGGTGCCCTCCCTATCCTGGCAGGAAAGGAACGTGTTTATGCTCAAAGACACAGAGACGCCAAGAAGAATCTGAACAAACAGGCTTGCTGAGCTTGTCCTGCTTTATTGCTATGAGCTCATGCTCCCTTTGTCCAACCATACTTCTGCACACCCATGCACTCTTCAACAAACCCAAGCAGAGAGCACACAGGCTTCGCTATTTCATTGGGTCTTCATGTCAGAAGGTTCTCATGTCTCATAAAACTAGTAGTAAGAAATTCGTATGTTTTTCTTTCATTAATCTTTCTTTTATTATAGGTACCTCAGCCATGAATCTTGTCATGGGTAGGGAAAAATACTGCCTTTTCTTCCCTACAGAACTAATGGACAGACATGGTTAAAATGTATCCCAGGCCATAAGAAAGAGAGATTTAGAATGATAAGTAGGCAGAAAGTGGAAAAGATGCCAAATGATACACAGAGCTCCTGGATCATGGGCCTCCCTTAAATGATTAGAAAGTTGCGTGGTATAAGGTTGTAAATTAGGATCTTGAAACTGTGGAAGATCCTTCTCACATCCAAGTTTTTATTATTCTAGTTTCACGAGGCATCTCCTCTCTACACATACCAAATTTCAGGGGCTTAGTGTTAGCACAAGGGAACAAATAGAAGACTTATTAAGTCAACCCAACCTTTTGTTCATATTCAAAACATTCCACTCTTTCCTTCCACCCACATTACATGCTCAACGGCCACTCATTATAGATGTCCCACTTCATTTCCCAACTTTCTCTAACATTGTACTGTGTTCCCAAGATACCTTCTCCTAACTTTGCCACCTATTCAGGCATACAGTGGGGATTTCTTGTTTTGTTTTAATTAGTTGTTGTTGTTTCTTGATACAGGGTCTTAGCTCAGGCTGACCTTGAACTCAGGATCTACTTGCCTCAGTTTCCTGAGTGCTGGGATTACAGGTGTGTGTGTGTCACCATGTCCAGCAAATACAGTGTCTGAAGCCCACTTCTATTACTTTTAGACAAAAAAAAAGGCGTGCACCACTAAGTCCCAGCTTTTTTGTTTGTTTGTTTGTTTGTTTGTTTGGTGTTTTTGGTTTATTTATTTATTTATTTATTTATTTATTTATTTATTTATTTTGGTCTTTTCTAAGAAAGGGTCTCCCTGTAGCCCCAGCTAGCCTGGAACTTGCTATGTAGATCAGGCTGGCCTTGAACTCACAGAGATCTGCCTGCCTCTGCCTGCCGAGCACTGGGCTCAAAGGCACAGGCCACCATGCCCAGCATCCTATACTACCTTTTAATTAAAGTCACCAAGAAAATAAAGTCACATTAAAATAGAATAAAATACTAAACACCCATCTGAGAAACATGAATGATATGACTACAATGTGTGTGATTATGAAGATCTGAAAAAGAGCCAGGACTAGTGGAGCAGGCCTATAATCCCAGCTACTCTGGAGGTCAAGGCAGAAGAATCAGAAGACTGGGAAACTTAGAAAACCCCTATGTCACAATAAAAAGTAAAAGGAAAGGCTGGAGCTATTTCTCAAATGGTACGGTGCTTGCCTAGCATGCATAAAGCCCTGGGTTGGATCCTCAGAACTGCATAAACGAATTGGGTGTGGTGACACATGCCTGTAATTCCAGCACTTGGGAGACAGAGGCAGGAGGATCAGATGCTTGTTATGCTCAGCTACACATCAAGTTGGAGACTAGCCTGGGCTACACGAGACCTTGTCTAAAAGAGAGAGAAAAAGGCTAGGGATGTAGAGCTCAATGATGGGTGACACCCCACATTTGCCTAGTATGAGGACCTACATTCCACAATAGAAATTTCAAAAAATTTAACAAGATTTGAACATGTGAATGTGTCCCCTAATTACCTTCAGCTTTCAACTTGACACAACCCAGAGTTATCTGAGGGCGTCTCAATTGGGAGACTGCCTCAGTCAAATTGGCATGTCCATGGTCATTTTCTTTATTGCTAATTGATATAGGAGGGCCCAGCCCAGTATGAGAAATATTCTCTCTAAGCAGGGGGTCCTGGGCTGCATAATTGAACAGAAGCTAGGGCACAAGACAGTAGGTAGCATTGCTCCATGGTTTCTGCTTCAAGCTCCTGCCTTGAGTTCCTACCTTAGTTGCCCTCAATGACAGACTGTAACCTGAAAATGAAATAAACCCTTTTTCTCCCCAAGTTGCCTTCAGTCATGGTGTTTATCACAGCAACAGAAATCAAAATAAAACAGAAATTGGTACCTGGAGTCGGATATTTATCACAGCATTGCAAAGCAAACTAGGAGAAACATGCAAAGAACCATTCATCCAACTCTATACTATTATGACTAAGCTGTATCTTTCTGAGTTTAAAGTAGTTTACTTTTGCTTATTTACTTGTGGTGCTAGGGATCAGGTCCAGGTCCTCAAACAAGCTAAGCAGGTGTTCTACCTCTGAGCCACATCCCTAGTCCTAAAGTAGTTCATTTTAGAAGTGTAAACTATTCAGGATGACTTTATGCACAGATAGATGACTGTGCCATATATCTACTCTTTCTCCC